AGTAAGTAAGTATCTGAAATTAAAAGATATTACTCTCAGCTAATTCGGTATACTATTTTGTTATCCATTAATTATTTGAATCGCTACTCTATAAGGTTTGGTGAACATATCGAAACAACTTCTTTGATACCAGGTTTTGAGCTGTCTCTAAATGACTGATGGATTGCCGCTAAGTTGACAGACAACTTCGACGTCAAGATCTATAAATAAACTGTACTAAACATTTCCTTAATAAAACACAAAGAACCGTATTACTCAATTATAACCTCGTCGTCATTTTCCCTGCCGCGAAATGCGCCACAAATCATTTAAAAATGTCTTTGACCCCGAACATGCGAACATGTAACGTCGGGTTTCGTTCAAAGCCACAAATCGTGGAATATTTTTGCGCTATGAAAGAAATGTCACCGCAATTTGCATGCGCTTGCGTATTTATGCGGCAAATGTGCATGCCAACGTGCAACGTTTCAATTTAATGAAGACGAAAGAAAGGTGCTGTTGGTTGTTGCCTCAGCAGAAAAAGCTTCTGAGTATACACCCGCACCATGACTCCCAGCCGAAAAGCAAAAACACTCGACTGCTTTTGTGTGCTCCTGATTCACTGAGCCGCGCTGCAATGGTTCGTTGCCTGCTAACTGCCACTTCGTGACGCACGCGTGTGTGTGTTGGCATTTTGTTGCATTTGCATTTAGCGACATTTCAACATTTCCGCACGTTTTCTATTTATGTGAAATTGCACAACTTCCATACCAGAAAGGGAAAATGCGAAAAAAAGAAGAGGATTTCAAATAGGCAGTGAAACAAAGAAGACGCCATCGTCTAAAGTAGCAGCCGTGCAATAGTGGCAACATTAGCACAAGAAGTAGGAAGGAACAGTAAAATATTTATGTGAATATGCAACATTACTTTTGACTTCCGTCAGCAGCAGCAGCTCAACTCCTTTCGGCGTTGCAACCAATTGCTGTTGCACAGGCATTCATCAATGTTGCTGGCACTATTTGCAGCCAACGCCAACGTCTGAGTGGAGTCCAAAAAGGCAACTCACTAAGTAATGATTCTGTCACATTTGTTTATGGCAACGCTTACTGCAGCGTCAAATAAAATAGCAGTAGACGTAGGCTCACACATATATACATACATGCAATTAAATAACACTACATTCATGCAAGTGCATATGTGGTGCATTATTTTATTTTATTTGCAGTGAGTGCAAAAAGTCTGCGCGTAAACAAATGCATCAGTTGGAGTCCTACAACAAGTGGCAACATAGTAGCGCACAACTAAACACCACACACTTGTATGTATACATTTTGCATTTCTGCTCATGTGTGCCGTTGTTACCCATTACCCATCAAACGCATTTTAAGTCGCTACTCGCGTATTGTTGCTGCATTCTCTCCTTTCCTCGTCTTCTTATTCGCCATAATTTAATGTCTTTAATGCTCATGTGGGAATTTTATTTTTTCAATCATTCACAGTTCAATATTTTAATGATGAGCAGTTACAGAGACGTGTTGGAGTTGCAATGTTGCTTGAATTTGTCGACGGAGACTTTGTTTGCTTGGTGCGATCTCTTGCCGACAAATGAAAAGCAGCTCTTTTCACGCACTTATTCATTCATTAAATGTACAGAAATGTTAAAAATATTTGTTTAATATTGCTTTCCCCTTTTTTTGAAGTAATATAGAATTCTCAAACAAATAATGAATTCGGTATAGTTCTCCTATAACTTTCATTTGTTATTCGTGGCTTACTTTGGTGCGCAAGTCGTAACCTTCAGAAAGTAAATTTCAAATTTTACGTATTTGGAAGTAATCAGAAAGGCCAGCTGAGTCGATGCAGCTATGATTTTGCATAATTGCTCTCTTTAGAATATAACCGATTGTTCAGATATTGGATTTCTAATTGTCTTTTTCTATTCATGAATATAAAATGCATATAAACGTATACACTTCCACAAATGAAACCGAAATCCATGGTTCATTTATATAAGGTTGTATCGGGAACCAAAAAATAAAAATTTGTCAAAAGTGTTTGAATCCATAATATCTAAATTAGCCATTTTATTTTGTATGGTTTTGTGGTTATGATAAAAATATATATATTTTTGTTAATTAATGTAAATAACAATAAATCATCAAAACGTTGAGAAAAAATTTACGAGCAAAACCAAAAACAGCTGATTTTGACATTATAGATGCAAACTCGTTTTTGCTAGAGAAAGCATGCTCGGTAGCGACACAACCTTTTAACGGCTGATCCAATTAAAGCTTCTTTCAGTAGCCGTTTTTAGACAGATCACGGGTGCGTCGTGTTAAACTGTCATGTTATTTTTGTTCAGCATTCTTTGGCATTTCATCATGGACAGACTTACGCCTGAACAATGTTTACAAATCGTTCAACTCTACTACGAAAATTTACTTGCTGTAACGGACGTGTTTCGCGCGCTTTGCTCAACTTATGGTCAACATAATCGGTCTACTGACATTCTATTCGCAACACCATCATTTTGAGACCCAGTATTAATTATTGGATAATACTCGACCGAATAGACCACGTTCCGCACGCGGTGATGAAAATATAGCAGCCGTAACTGAGAGTGTCCACGAAGATCGTGGAGAATCGATTCGGTGCCATTTGCAGCAACTCAGACTGACGTATGGAACGATTTGGTACGTTTTACGTCGAGATCATAAATTGAAAGCGTACAAAATACAGCCGCTCGACCTTCCTTCGCTCTATGGACTCTTTAAAAGTTCTAAGAAGATCCGATTTCATGTGATCTTGGCGATATTTGAATTCAATACGACAGCGCCACTTCCCACATATGGCATCAATCAAAGGATTTATTAAGAGATCACTTCAGTGAGCAAGATCGTGTGATATCACACCGTTAGCATTTTTCCTGTGGGGAAATCTAAAATATAAAGTCTATGCGGACAATCCCGCTTCGATTCAGGCCTTGAAGCAAAACATCACGCGTATCACTCGACAATTACCAGTCGAAATGTTCGAACGAGTCATCCAAAATTGCACCCTGAGACATATTCGTGGCCAGCATTTGAAAGAGATAATATTCAAAAATTTGATACCAAGGAATGTTCTTTCGAGTGATATTAAACATTCTCCATTAAATTTGAAGTTTGTGAGTTTTTTCTTTAAAAAGTAGTATAGCTTGAAATGAATCACTCTTTATATTGATCGCTTAGCGACGACTTAAAGCATATTTAACGGTTAAAAACAGTCCATCTCGATTTAGGGCAGAACTACGAGTCCTATGGAAGAAAAGTAAAAGCTGTAAAAGTTTTTTTCACATAACATCAAAAATTATAATAACCAAATTTTTGTTTTTAGTTTCATTTTCCGCAACTTTTTATTTATATATGTAAAGGCATTTGTATGAACTTAACTTTCAAGCTCCCAAATACACTGTATTTTTTCATTCTCATATTTGAATATTTAAGAGGGACCCTAATTCTCAATCAAAAATTTCATGTAAAATTTACAGTTTTTTTAAACATTAAATTTTTAACTTGGTGTTCTTTTAGTTATCTATTTCCAATTGATGTAAAAAAGATGCCATAGTATTTCATTTTCTCAAAAAAACAATAACAATATTTACATCAGCTTTGTTTTGATGACAGGTGGGTGAACAGGTGGGTGAACCTGTCATTTCGTAGTAGCTATAAACAAGAATCCGGTCTTTGTTTTAATATTTGAGAAAACTAGTCAACGCTTTCTTCACTTCACCCCATTTTCACTTTGCCAAATATACTCAACTCAAAATTTTAATGTTGATAATGCAATTTAAATTACCACTTCACCGGTTTGCGTCACAAATCTCACTTGTGACATCCACCCGCGGTTAATGCTCCTTTAATTCGTGCAAAAAAATAACTAAGCACCAACTATGTTAACGAATTTCGAGTTATTCTTGCAGCTGCCAGCGTGTTTTCCTGTTAAAACATTACCATTTTATTGCACACATAAGTACATTACAATAATAAATACCACGCGCTTATAATAATCCACACTTTTGCTTTGTCAAAGGCACGCGGTTTAAAAATTTCCAGCGCAATGACGCAAATGCAATGCTAAATCAATTAACCTCTTTAAAAGTATTGTACTAAGAGTTTTAATTTTTAACCCAAAATTATTTTAATTTGCAGCGCTCACACCCTTACAGCATATTTACCGCACACATACACACACACGTATGAACCTTTCGCGCTTTCGCTCCACAACTGTCGAACCCTTTTTTGCACACCGTTGTTGAACCTGACACATTCCCTTACTCAATAAACGCTTTAGTTATTGTCTTTGCTTGCGCGCGCCTCAGAACAAAAAGCCCGTCAATGCGGTATTAGGCAGCAGGTTTTCGCATTGCCGCTTCGTAAATTTACATAATTTCGTAATTTTTGCGCGAAACCGCATGCCAGCGTATAAGTATAAGTATTTTTACAGCTAATGAATGCATTCACACAGCGAAGTGCATGCAAATTGGCAGCACAAGTGGAGAGCAGCGCGCATCACATCGCACCGGAGCGCTGAGCCAGTAAAGCCACGCAACGCAAAGCAACACGAACTCACCGCGGTGAACTGTGAATTGAATTGTGATAAAATCGTCGTAAATTTTTAACTGTCAACGGGGTTGCGCTGGTGTTTGCCAAGCAACTCGCAACACATTACATAAGCGATTAAACGATAAGATGGGGTATGACACACAGATACATACATGCACGTAAAATTAGATTGTTGCACTGGAAGTTGGAAATATGCAATTACAAAGAATTTACGTGCAATCCGTTAAAGTTATTGCAAAGAAAGCTTACGCTTGCGCACCTTTATAAGTTTAAAATATCAAAATATTTATACAATATTGTGGTATTCATATGTAAAATACTTAATGTCAATATTATTTATTATTTTAAAACCTTTTAAATTTATGTTACACGCTACATTTGCGCAAAATCTTACATTTTAATTAATTTTTCTTGCAGACAAATACCCACCGCTTACTCCAAGGCCAATGGTGGCACTGCCATACCGCTGCCCGCCACTGTTATGGTGCAACGCCGCTGCCCACCGGACAAAGTACGACCACTGCCACCGACACCCAATCACACGCCATGTAAGTGAAGAAATTTTATCAATTTTATTGTAAAAGCGCTTAAGTCGAAATAAGGTATTTTGAATATCATCAGTACGTACTGTACACTGAATTATAGGTTTGGATCGGTTAGGTTAAACTGGTAAGCCAATAAGCTACGCATAGATCAGTTTTGGAACTTTGCGATACCAGATGGAGTTCACTTCCTAGTTCATACCCCATGGTATGATACACTGGAAAAAGGATGGAAGTAGTCATCCTTCAGGACGCCGCGAATTTTAACAGACTCTACGGCATCACTAACGATATCTCATCCACTATTTCCATCCGTTGGGAAATCAGATGCTTACTAAATTATAAAAACCGCGTAGTTTTTTAGCAGAATTTATTAAATTTGTTCAGAAGGGACAAAAAAGCATTTGGAGCACAAAAAACTTTAATTCTGCTTCCGAAATGTGCTAAAAATAAAAATTGTTCGCATTCTCGATGACTATCCTTTAAGTGCTCGTACATTTTCATCTAGAAGAACTTACAGAAGAGAGGCCAACTTCACTGAGACGAGGTATCGTTCCCATTATCTAATAGCTGGTCTGGGGTACCTTTCTATGTTAGCTCATCAGCTTTATAGTTACCTGCAATTTCACTGTAGCGTGGCCCTCATACCAGTCTTATCACAAAGTGGCTGGATACTGTCGATAACAAGGTTAGGCACTCCTTAAAGGGGAGCCTCCTTTAGAAGTTTCAAAGAATCTATTTTTTGAGGAGGGATATTAGAGGGAATAATTGATTAAAGCTGAACTCCTGAAAGCACGTTAGTGAGTTCAAAGCCGGTAACACCGTTCTGTTATCGGAGTGTATAGTTAGGTATGCAACAGTACGAGTACAAACCCCTTATTTCAACTCTTAATAGTAGAGAGTTCAAAACTATACATGTTCTGCAGAAACTGAGTTTTAACAAATTTTCACACAAATCTCAAGCCCCTAATCGTCATTACATAAGAGAATGGTTAATTTCAAACTCTCAAAATGTCTATAATTTGTGTTGGAAGCAACAAACCTAAACTATTACAACTTTCTTCAGCGGGCAATTAACCCGCTGATAATCACAGGGGTCATATCGACCTTAAGATAGAAAAGAAAAGCTTTACTCGATATATTTTCCTTTGTGAAATTCAGCATAAAAATTACAAACAGTTTAGGTTAAAATGTGGTATCCTCTATATCTCTAATAATCACTCGCTTTAAAATTTGAACTCACAGAGCTCTCTTAAATATGTTTAAAACAACTTCGTTCGGCTGAAGTTCATTTCAAATATTTGTTAGCTGCTCCACAAATTTTAATTAAAAATCCATTCAACATTTTTCAATAAAGTCACTACTCATACTGCCTGCTTTTACATATTATGTGTTTGGAGCCACATAAAAATCACCCCTAAAAACTGTGCCTTCGTTTCAACTGTTTTGGCCTGTGTCTGTTTGCACTTGAGCAACAGTATAGAAAAAGGAAATCCTTTCAAGCTTCCATTTGTGGCATAAAAATAAAAAATTAAATCCCGTTTAACAAGCTGATAACCCACCGTTACTGTATTTCTCTAGAGATTCAAGCCTAGGTTAATAGAAATGTGCATCTTAAGAGCAGAACACCAATGTGCAAATGTATGTGTATCTGTAAATAATAATACAATACACGTATGATGCAAGTGTGGATGAGTGTGAGGCGACCAAAAACGACATGAAAATTGACCGAGATTTCTCTTTGACAAACAGTGGCGTGGCTACACCGCAATAAGGACAATAGTACTTCCAGTCGAAAACCATGATGAGTAGGGTGCAAGTGAATGGATACGTGAGTAAATGGGTGTATGAGTAAATGAGCGTAACAGCGTGGGTGTAGGGGAGCTTGAGCAGTGAGTGTTACGGTAGCCATAGATAAAAGGGTAAAAATAGCCAGTCAAAGTGCTTGAAGCATGGATGTGGGCTGATATATTTATATATTGTATATAAATAACTCGCAGCAAATACCATCAAGTGAAGGGAGTTATGTTATGGTGTTAAGTACAGTAAATGCGTAAAAATTGGTCTAAGCTTGGTGGCGCTGTAACGCACCTCATACCTAACACCCTTTCCAATTAATGCTTATAATAAATGACACACATGGGGATTTTTAAATTTGGGCTTGATAATGATAGGATTTACGAGCTTGTGATGGCCTTTTTATGATACTGATGACGTTGTTGTGGTTGTAAGGGCTGTGGTATAGTTATGTTGCACCAAAATTTGTCAACGACTTTAATAATAATATATGTTTTTTTGGGTGCGATTTTTCTGCTGTTTGCATCGATGTGGCTAAACTAGTAACCCCCTGAAAGCCTTTTAATCTGCGAAAATTGGTAGAAAAAGTCCACGAAAGCTTTATATTTCAAAGAGTGTGGAATATTATAAGGAAGCGGAAGCTTGAAGCTGCTTAACTGATTTTTTCTTATTCACATTTATGAAACAAGTATTTGATATGTTTTGAGAATTTGTCTTATGAAGAACTAAAATAATAGCAATAGCATTGAAAGTATGTTGCAACATAAATATAACGAAATGAATAACCATAAAACCTTCAGAGGAACTTTGTGAAGTCAAAAATATGCGAAACTCATATCAGTTCCATTAAAATGAGATATTTTGAGCTTAAAGGAATATTTTTGAAATAAATCTAAAGATATAGCATACAACTTTTTCAGATATTTGATAAAGCTTCTGCTCCATATGAAGGTTAAATTTTGAAAGTATCTGGCAAATACAAGGTTTAACCCGCCACCGAATGGAATTATATGAACAATCTTGTATGACCATATGAAAATAAGAGGTAGTTCAAATACCCGCGAGCACTCTTCACGGTTTCTGCTATCTTATTGAACCCAATTTTAGAAGTTTCTCTTCAAGGTTATAACTGAATCTGAGCAATAGTCGGAGTTATGAGGGGTTGAAGTAAATTTTTTTACTGCACATCATTAACATGAACCTGTGATAACACGATACAATGCCGATTGCGTTCAAATCCTGGTGGAACTAAGCGAATACACCAATAAATGAAGAAAAAATGGAAAAGCGAAATTCAAACAAAATTTTGCTTCTAATATTATATGTATATTAAAAATTCAACTAAAATGATTTCTAGATATTGTAAATTTCCATAGAATTTTAATTACAAAATAATAGAGAATGGAAGTCTTTTGAATTCATATACAATTTCACTCGATAGAGATCGCTGCTATCAAGTCAGGAAGTTGTTTCCAATGCATGCTTTCTTCCTCAAATACAAAACTTCTGAAAGCAGTGATCACATGACAGTGAAAACTGGTATTTGTCAAACTGCAAAGTGTTCATAAATAATTTCGTGCTTATCGCTTCATCAAGCTGTGATTTTGATTTATGCTTGTCACTAATTTGTTACACTCGCATGCGATTTGTGGCTTCTTTTTTATATCTGAGTGATCGACGCACCCTTCACAAAGAAATGAAACGAATTCCTTTGCTGTTCCTAAGGGAAGTGCACATGATCACACACTTACACAAACACTTATGCACAATCACTTGTATTCATACATATATAAATACACTCTCTTATATACTCGTTTGCTTAAATGCATTGCGTAGACGCGTGTTTCGAAAATTAATTAACGCATATCTACAAGCTGTTGTCCGCCCGACAGTTGTTACGCTTCAGCGGCAGTGAAAAAAATTCCTTACGCCTTTACAAGTGAACGCTATACTTGTACTTGCCTGGGTCCTGCTGGCATAAATCACTTTTCCATGCAAATCGCTTGCTTCCACCATGAGCGGCGCGGTCTTTGCAATCACATGCGTCTAATTTAAATTAATGTCCACTCGTTTCCCATGTATAAGACTACTACAAGACTCTACGAAACTCCCGTAGTAAAAGCGGAAAAGAAATATGGGAGATGACAAAAAGTTGTTTAAAGGGTGTTGACAATACGCGGTGGCAAGTGTCGTAAATTAAAGTTGAAGTTTACATATGACAAAAGTTGTTCAGATTGTTTATTGTTGTAAGTCGTGGAAGAAATTTGAGTTCGAAAAATTAAAAACGGAAAGAAATTGTTTAAATATTTTTTTTTGGTTCTAGAAGGAAAAATTAAATATTTATATGAAAAGTTCTGTCACATCCCCCAATTTCTTCAAATATTATAACGAAACGCTGCTGACCACAAAATGAAAAAAAAAAAAATAAATCTTCATAGAAATTACCTTTATAATTATTATATTATATATTATACTTTGAGCTCCTTTTGAGAAATATGTTTCTTCGCTTCAAAAACTGACAGTATTTTGGTTGCTTCGACTTTTCGAGCTTATATCCTTTAACACTCCACGTTAAGACCAGGTTATTGTGACCGTAATGTACTCATGGCCAATTTTGTAAAACTTAACGATACTCTGTCTATTTTGGTAGAAAGATCCAATAGTTAAAAAAAATACAAATTTATTGTTTCCTTATATTTACAGCCATACCCGGTTTAGGAAAAAGTGGCGTTGACTTTAATAGCGGGCGACCGAGTAGTCCACCAACAACTAATCATACCATACAAAGTCTGAAAACTGGCAATAACAATGGGTGAGTCAATATTTTACTTATCTTTGCTAAAGTAATAAAAATAAATTGAGTTAAAGTTAAACACTAAAACTCAAAAAATATATTTAAACATTTGAATGAAAAAATAATTTGTGAAAATTATAAAATTATACTATAAATGACTAATTAATAAACAATTTACAATTTACTACACCTCCATTCACAGCTTACGCCCGCCAACGGCTAAAGCAACGCATGCCAGCGGCATACCGCCACCGAGTGGCATACCCGCTGCCGGCGGCAATATGGGACCAACGCTGCCACAGCAAAAGCACTCCATGCTTGACAAGCTCAAGTTGTTCAATAAAGAGAAGCAACAACAACAGAACGCAGCTAATGCCGCCTCCACTAAAATGCAGGTGCAATCGAAGCGCACATCCTCATCTTCGGGTTTCTCATCGGCGCGCTCCGAACGCTCGGACTCTTCGCTGAGCCTCAATGATGGCCACATATCACAGATCAAGCCACCAGCGGTCAGTGTAACATCTGGCAAGAGCAAAATCAACACCAAACAATCCAAACTGATGGCAGCACAGCTAAAGAAAGAGCAGACGAAAGTCAGCAAACTGGACAAGAAGGAAAAGAGTCCAGCGCGCTCGCTAAATAAGGAGGACTTCAGCGGTGAGAGCCGCAACTCAACAATGGGACGCGCCAAAAACTCACTGCCGCGTGTTACCGAAAAGAATTCGCTGAAATCGTCTTCAAAGGGCTCACTTAATTCCAAGTCAGACTCTAAGTCCTCATTGATAGTGCCACCCACGAAGGGACTCTGCAGCCCCAATGGCTCAAACACCGGCCTGCCCAAACCAATTGCCGCCATAAAAGGCACAAGCAAATTGCCGCAATCGCCTTTGGGTGGCGTTGGTGGTAGCAGCGACAATCGTGGCCGTGGCATGAGCAACTCAAATTCGCAGCAGGAGATGATGAAGCGTGAAAGGAGTGACATATCAAGCATGCATGCAAACATATCTAGTGAGAGCGCCAAAGCGAAAGAACTAACACAACAGCAGCAACAGCAACATCAACCACATATCGTAAAACCGGTGCCGATATTACCGGAGCCGGGCAGCAAGCCACCATATTACGCTAACGCCACAAACATATCACAGCAACAGCAACATCAACTGCAGCTACAACAACAACGTCAGCAGCAATATCAACAGCAACAGCAAGCTTATTACAATCAACAGCAGCAGCAACAGCAACAACAAGAGCACGCCACATATGTGAACAACAGTCGTCTGCCGCCACCTAAATCCGCCACTTCGCCTACTGGCAACGCGCCAACTGCGCGCAAACTTGAATACAATGCCGGTCCCGGTATACTCGCGTCGCCACAGCGCTCACCGCTACGCGGTCACGCGCAATCACCTGACTCGCCGTCCGCACATCAGCACCATCACGCGCACTCGAACGCCAAGTTCCACACAATACCCTCCAGAATAGACACAATCTATGAGGAGAAGAAACCGACAAGCCTGCTGCCGATGCCACCGTTACTGCGTGGCTACAATTCGCATGTGACACTGCCGACGCGGGGCGTACGTGGCGGTGGCACACGCAATTATGTGACCGACTTCATGGAAGCGGAAATAAATCAGGGTTACTGCAGCGATGGCGATTCGTTGAGAGTGAGCGCCTCAGCGCGGTTAGCGCAACGCGCAGCCGCAACTGCGAGACGCTATCACGACATAGATAACGGCTATTTGTCGGAAGGCAGTGGCAGTGTTGGACATCATGGTATGCTCATGGCTGGCGGTATCAGTTCGGCGGCGCATACCAAACACTTCTTGAGCATGATGCGCGCGAGGACCCAACTACCGACGACCATCGAAGAACGGTAAGTCGAAAATGAGTTTTCTTTCTTTTTTATATCTTAAACGCATTTACAAAAAATCATCTCACGATAACTCATTCAGACAAGATATGTGTATATATGATATATTCGAAACGAAACTTAAAACTAACTATAATTTATATTGCGGAAATATTGAGTGTTGAATACGAAGGCAAAAAGTCTTTCGAAGACTTCAGATAATTTACTAACTATGCATCTATACAAATACTTAAGAATATATATAATTTCTCTCATCTTTGTCCTTCAGCTCATCACACTGTCAGCCTTGAGTCACTGCCAACATTTTAAGTAGAAATTTTCGTAATGATTCATAGCACGCACCTCACTTTCGGCCATCCTTGCGGTTAGTCCGCGAAGTTGCCCTTCTTCGCAGAATTGAAGACACATTTTTCATGTTCGACCCATATAAATAATGGCCCAAGTTAGCACGCAGCGGGAATGCAAATGTCAAATAAAGAAAAAAACGAAACAAATCCTGCAGAATAACGGTGCCAAGCAAATCGTTATACCCTGAACGGAGTATATTAAGATTACAAAAAAGCTTGGAACAGGAAGAAACGTCGGAGTCCCTAAAAAATATATGTATATAAATGCTGAGTCGATTTAGTTCGCCTGAAGTAGTTTTCATTTTTGAGATAATGTTCCGAAAATTATCCCACTTCTGCTTCTGTCCAAGAAGTTGCTTATTTGTCGGAACCGGCGGACTTCTATGGCATAAAGGTGCCACACAAACTTAACGATCGGATCCATACAAACAGAAAATGTTTTCGGTCGACAAGAATTTCGACAATATCCGAAGAAATTGTTTACATCGGATAACCATAACAAAATTAACGAAAAAATTCTAGCTTTGTTATAGAAATTTTTTGTTTTTTTGACGAGATATCGTCACGAATTTCTGTATGAATTATTATCCAAAATAATCTCCCATTAAATTTTTATAGATCGGACCACTGTTGCATATACATATATAACTAGCATCAAGTTCTTGTATGGAACATTTGTATTTAAAAAGGGTATTATAGCCTTTACTCACCACGAGCGGACGTTAACTAACTCAGTGTACGCGCATGAGTCACTTCGTTGCATTCTTCACGCACTTTTTGCTTCATTTGCTTTGGAGAAAAGCAAACAAGAAAAAACTTTAACTTCGGTTGCACCGAGGCTAAATACCCTTCACAGGTGCATTTCTGTTAGTAACTATGTGTTCGGTTTGTATGGAAGCTATATGCTATAGTAATCCGATCTAAACAATTTTTTCGGAGATATACCAAATTTCATGAATATATCTTGTCAAATGTGAAAGTTTTCCATACAAGAACTTGTTTCCGATCGTTCGGATTGTATTCTATAATTTACCGATCTGAACAATTTCTTCGTAGATTACATTCTTGCTTTAGGAAAGCTTCTTGAAGAGAAAATGACGTTTGCAAAATTTCAAAAGGATTTCTTAAAAACTGAGGAACTAGTTCGTATATATACAGACAGACGGACATGGCTAAATCGACTCAGCTCGACATATATATACACTTTATACTTTATCCGACCCTTCCTTCTGTGTGTTACAAACTTCGTGAACAAACTTAATATATCCTGTTCAGGGTATAAAAAGCAAAAACGAATGCACTCAGCTTTGGCCAAAACCGCTTGCGGTGCATGCTGTGATTTAAAAAACTAGTGTGGTTTTTTTTTCGTTGTTTTTGCACTGCTGCACCCGTTTTCGGCCAAAAATAAAGCGTTTGTGCCAATTACTCTCCAGCTGCTGAGCCATGAAACGTCACAGCGTTTGAACTGGTTTTTTGTACTGATTGTTGTTGCTATTTCTGCTTTGTAGTGGCAGTTTTGTCGCCTGTTTCGCTGCCTCGCTTATTGCTCATTTGCGCCGCTTTACTTTTTATTCATCTACTTATTTTTAGTTCGTTGCTTTATTTTTATCTCTTCTCTTCGCGCTGTTTGCCTTTGAGCATTTTAATTGTGGCATACAATTTAATTACGTGTAACTGGAACGCCAAATGGTAAAGAGGCGGAACGAGAAGCGGAAAATAAAAAAGTAAAAAAGCGTGTGATTCGCATATTAACTTGTTTGTATATACATATACATATATATTTTTATTTTTTATTTTATTTTTATTTTTATTTTTTTTTCTATTATTTTTTTATTTCTTAAAGCATTTTTTTCGACCTTCAACTAGCAGAAAAAATAGTTAGTGTTACAAATTTCTGCTGAAAAATATTTGTGGTCTCTATAAATGTGCTTTCAAGCAAAAAACTGAAATTTAATTATTTAAAAAATATATAAAAAATAACATATTTTATTTTTCTGTGTAATATGTACAATCACAATTAATTTTTGTCCGCCTTCATGGTATGCAATCGAAATTCCAATTGCTGCATTTCTGGCCTCTCTCTCTCTTACTACATAACTCAGTACTATATTACCCATTCTCCACACCCACCTTTTATCACTCAGCAATGGCCACTTCACTTCGGCTGTCGACAACCTAACATGGCATCCTCGACAACCGAATACAATTGTCACCTGTCAAAGCAATAAATTTGCAACATGCTACTCCAACAATTGACGGACAGACAAGTGGTTGCTTAGTGCTGTTGTATTTACGTATGCTGTAAAAACTACACAAACAACAATAATGTTGTTGCTTAGTTACCTTCATCATAACGCCTTGTTGTTGTTGTTGCTGGTGTTGTTGTTGGCTTCATTGTTTTGCTACTTCTGATTGCTTTTTTTTTAATTATTCACTGCTACTTGCACTTAACTACTCGCTTCGAGTTAGTTATATAACTAGCTTTCCTTGTAATTTTTGTTGTAAAATCTGTCACAGACAGTTGTTTATTTGCACCGGTACGGTAGCGATCACTGCCAAACTTAAATATGATGTATATGTAGTTGACAAATTTGGGTATTGAAAAATTATAATATTTACTGGGCGGTTAGTGAAGGGAGCCGTACGTTGTACTTTTGTGTAATAGTAAAGTAACTTTATTTGTATAACGGTAACATACATATAGAACTTTGTTAAAGGTTTGGAACATATTTTGTATCATATTTACAATAGCAAAGGGTTGCCACATATTTATTTTCAAATACTGTCTCGCAGTGAACTTTTATCTTTGAACATCAGACACTAATTATTAAGCGTACTTGGGATTTATTTATAACTGCTTCATCTGGCATACTGAGAGGAGTGAAAGAAAGCGCTAAAATGTCATGTAATTCCTATAGTAGTACCAACACTATAGGAATTATAGACTTCGCTTTAACTACTGAATGAAAAGTTATTAAAAACCTTTTTGAAATATTTTTAAATTTTTTTTTATTTCCGCAAATATGAGAAAGAAAAGAGTTCAGTGGCCAAAAATTCAAATAATAAATTATTTGACTTCATACCTTCCAGAATTTGCTGAGAAATCGGAAGAAGAGGGAATAAGACCTAGCGATATCGAAGAAGAAAAGAACATCCGACTGAAATGCTGATGTTTTTATAGGTTTTTTCAAGAATAATTTTTCGCAATATTATATACTTTTTTCTAACATTTTTGGCATATTTACTGCTTCAGTGAATTGTAAATGTAAAGGACTTTCGGAGCTCTCTTTAATAACTACTTAGCATACTTCCAACGCATGGAGAACTTGGTCTTCAAAAATCGCTTCAGATAGACTTAAAACTTTTTATTAATATTTTTTTTACTTCAGATTAAAATTTGAAATACAATCGCAGCAATGACTCATTCGTCTCTGGTGCGCCCTTGGATGCAGTTTTTGCTATTATTACGCTCATTTCCTCAAGTTACTTATTGTTGCTACAAATTCTCAACTTCTTTTTTGTTTACTTTGTACATTTTTACATTATTTTCGTATCATATACATAAGCATCTCTCCTTACTTTCCTTCAAAGACTAGAATACAATTGCGAAACTTTCAATTTGCTCCCAACTTCCGTTTGCCTTTTTCCTGCATACAAACTCCATATCTAACTTCAGTAATACTTCATACTGATACTTCGTTTTTTCCAAGCAAAACTCCATTGACCTTTTCTTCTGCGCTATCCTGTTTCATACCGTTGCTGATGGTTCTCTTTCATTAGCATATCCCCCACTTAGCGTTGAACCTGCATACGTCGCACAAATCATCACGTCTGATCTAACAAATTAATGCAAGCGGGCGTTCCTCACATTCACTCACCAAAATTTTGTCAAGTTTACGTTTTTACTTTTTCGTTCATTTAGGTCATTAACAGGGGTAATAAAAATTTCATACTCCATTTGCAAGTTAATTGAATTTTTGGGAGGAGGGAGGAATTTGAATTAGAAGTTTCAATTAGGTTTGTAGAGATTTTGTTATAATTAGACAGCTTGTGATGAACAAGAAAATTACATTACATTTTCTGAAATTCGAAAAAAAAAACATTTTTTATAACTTTTTATGGCGCTCATAATCATGGTGAACTTCTAACTAATCAGCTTTTTAATTATTTTTTAATTAAGCAACTGAACTGCAATTAACTTCTTTAATTTTGGTTTTTATTATTTTTTCGCAAGGAGACGTAGATGAGTCGCAAATAATTGGCCTTCTTCCTGTAAATGGAGCAATACAGTGTTTTTTATTTTATTTATTACAGAAACTGTACCTAATAGTCGTTTATCGATGAATTAAAGTGCAGTAACCAGTACCGATTTTGTATAATTTTATTTGTTTGTTATTTTTGAAATTGTATATATTAATCGATAATTTTTCAAGCTATCGATAAGGAAGCTTTTTTTATTTAGATTAAATGATCGATTAATTAAAGTGAAGTAACCGGTACCGATTTTTTATAAATTTTAGTGTTTTTTTTTTGAAGAAGAACCGATATTAATCGATAATATTTCAATTCATCGATAATATATCGATATACACAATTTTTTATTTTGTATTATCAATATTTGGAGATCAATACAAATTTAATTCTGGAATCGGATTT